AAGTAGATACTTAGTAACACTGTATCTTCGCAGTAACTCATTTTTGAGACAGGGTCTCTCACTAAACCTGGATTTCATTGATTAGGTAGGCTAACTGGACAACGAGCTCTAGGCATCTATTCATCTCTCCCGCCTGGCTTTTACAGTAATGCTGGGATCCAAACAGGTCCTCATGGTTGCACGACCTGTACCATCTCCCCAGTCCTGTGAGGTGCTTTTGGGAAGTAAACCCATGAGCTGCAGCCCCAGATCTGTAACACACTGGAGACCTGATACCTGCAAATAGCAGGGCATTTCATGTTACTGGCCCAGAAAGGGGGATTAAAATGCTATTGTATCTTCACAGTACCACACTGAATGATATCCATGGAAGCCCTTTGAACACACTATTTGGATTTAGCTTCACTATTCACTCATCATTTTTGGTTTTTTTCTCTGCCTGAATCTGACCTGACTATCCATTGGGAAACTTCCAGGGACTCAAGTTTCTAATACAAAATGACACATTCAGGGCTGGGAAGATGACTCAACCATTGCAAGCATGTACTGCTTTTACAGAGAACCTAAGTTTGGTTCCCATCAGGTGCCAGACTCACAATTGCCTGTAATTCCAGCTGCTGAGGGATCTAACACCCTCTTCTGGTGTCCATGGGCACCTGCATTCATTTGCACATACCCACACAGAGACCTATACATACACACATAAAATTTTTTAAAATAATTTAAAAGTCGCTTAAAATGACATGTATGCATCTAACCTATGCAGATCCTTCTGTATATTTTAAACTTTCTCTAGCTTATGCATAAGACTTAATTCAATGTAAATGCTATGTAAATGATGCTTATACGGTATTATGGAATGATGACAAGAAAGGAAGTCTGAACAGTATAGATGAGTTTATTTTTCCTGAAGATTTTCAGTCTGCAGTTAGCTGAGTCCATACCTTCAGACCCATAGACATGGAGGGTGAAATATGTATTATACAGTTATAGATTGTGTCCCTGTAGTATTCTTCACAGTGCAAGTTCAGGAAATATTTACTTTTCTTGATGTCCTGGACCATAAGGCTGTTGGTGATGAACACTGACTGTTGATAAAGATGACTTCATGGTCACCTACAGTCCAGCAATCCTGAATTGTAAGTCTGCACACATCCCTTATGCCATGTGCCCTCTCCCTCCCCCTTCTTTCTGACATGTGGGTTAAGGGTGGAAAGAGCCCTCCAGTCTGGCACAGGCCCCTTTAAAAATGTACCCAGGCTCCTCCTCTGCCAACCAGGTTGCTAAAAATACGGCTACAGCAAAAGCTGAAATATTTGCAGAGAAAACTGAATTTCCTGCTACCCCCACTCCCTCCACTCAAATGGGTAAAACCCTGACCTTAGAAGCCCTAGCGCAGCTCTGCTGAAGGCACAAGCCTCCAGCTTTCCCACCCCTTCTTATTATGGAGTCTCTCTGTGGGTTTGAGCAGGGATGTTATGTTCAGAGAGGGCCCACTCCCAGGAGGGAGAGCCACAAGTATTGGCAAATAGATCATCACATGACACCTCCGTATTTTTCCCCCCTTTGATTACTAGGACCAATGTTGTGAAAACTCCTCTCCACCTGTCCCAAAAAGGATACGTATTGGACCACAGAGGTTCTACACTCATTTATGTTTTATCCTCTCAATGGGCTGATCTCTTTGGCCAGCCTTACCTTTTAGTCTTTCTCTCTGCAATCCCTCCTGGCTCCAGCCCAGGGCCAATGCTCATGCTGGCTCACTCCTTACCCTGGCCTTCCTGGAACTTTTCTTCTTTCCAGGTCTGCGGTCTTTACCTTCAGCAGCTGAGGGATTGAAACTGGAAGAGTTAAGTATATGGCCTAAGCCAAATTAGCTCCTAAGTAGTTCTCTAAAACTTGACCTTTGACACCAGGCCCTAAGGTTAAGCAGGTTATGGTGGGAAGCATGACCTGAAACCACTTTGCCAAAGACCAGACTCATTCAGTCACACACAAGGACCCCAGACTACATCTGTCCCTTCTCCACCTAGAAAGTCACAGACAACAGTCCCATCAGCTCACCTTGCTCACAAAGTTCAGGCTCCTTGTCCAGAAGAGGGGCTTCCTAGCAGCTTCACTGTGTGCTCCGAGGCAGTGAGGGAGTCTAACAGGAAGAAGTGGTGGATGGCACAGTGTGACAGCCTGCTCAGGGTGTTTCTGGAGATATATGAGCAGCCAGTGTTGCATGCCTTCTAGTCTGCAATATATGTGTCACTCGCCTCTGGGTGTTTGAATTGTGAATGTGTCTGTCTTCTCATTTTGGGCTCTGCCTTCCTCTCTGTCTGTCTTTTCCTCACCTTGAAGTCTGCCCATCCCCCAAGCCAAGCACTGAGGCCAATTCCGTGTGGGCAGTTCAAGTGGGCTGTTACTGAAATGGTTGTTTAGTGGATGGAACTGACAGTTGCCGCATCTGGTATCCCATGGGTCTGCCAGTGTTCAGACACCCTCACCCCACACAAAGGTGTCTTACAGGAGGAAGGGAGGGAGGTGCTGTGTAGGAGTTGGATAAAGATACCCCCTCCTTTCAGTTCTGACCAGCAGGAACACGGGCCCAGAGGCAGCACAGCCTGCAGAGCGATGTTGCCTAGCAACTCGGGAGACTTCACTGCAAACTCACCAAATCCCAGCTTCCTCAGCTCTAATTTAGGAAAAGCAGAGTCCAGATCTGATATCCTCTCTGACCCTCAGTTTCCCCCTTCCCTCTCGCTCTGGATTCTGGAGTAAAAGAACCCGGGAAGTTGGCAAAACCAGGGCCTCCAGATGTGTTTGTCATTTAGGCAAGGACCTGAGTTCCTAGGACATCCTGCCATTTAGTGGAGGTGGGGGACTAAAGATGTGCCAGAGACAGATTGGGGAACAGATTTGCTGTTACAGGGGTGGGTGGGTCCCAAACATGCTGGGAGAGATACCCCTGCACCCCAACCCTGGAATCCCAGCCAGCCTCCAGCTCAGTTTGGAGCCCCAAAATGGCTAATCTGGTCCCCAACCTGAGTAGACATTGGCATATCCCTCCTACTCATTCTCCCATTAGCAAGGAAAGTCAAGGCCCAAACACTCAGTGAAATGGGCATTCAACAGTCCCACGGTTGTGGCTGGCCTGTGACAGTGCTGCTACAGCTCTGCTACTTGGGGTGCCTTGTCCTGCTCAGGACCACAGGGTGTTTCTTCCTCTCTGCTCTAAGGCATAGCCTCCCTTCCCTGGAGCTTCAGAGACCTCAGCTGAGGAGGACTTGAGTTTTCTCAGAGATGTCCCAACTACCTACTTAACATTCGACACAGTCAGCTGTACCACCTTGACAGTCTGAGAGGTTAAGTGACCACAAAAAGAGCAAGTTGCCTACCCCAGATGTCCCTTCACATCCCTGCTTCCTGGCCTCTCCCCAACCCACATCCTTCGCCAGCATGGGCTCAAGGGACCAGTACTAGTGGTAACCCCACAATGCTTGAGTTGACAGCATCCTTTTTCTTCCAAAAAGCAAGTGAGAGTGTGGCTAAACTTTGCCTTATTTTGAGGCAATGAATCAAAAGGTTAGGAAGTCTAGTGCATGAAGTGGGATTGGTTAGTGTGCTAAGTCTGCATCAGAGTATGAGTTCATTCAAAATGGGTGCTGGGCATAAGTAATTTTATTTGGTGCAGATGGGTGGAAGTGTAGATAGACAGGTAGACAGATAGATCCCATACCATGAATAGATACAAAATAGGTACCTGCTCAGTGACAACTATAGACACTTAGCACTGGAAAAAGTACTGAGAATAAATGGCTATTGAATGCCCAGCCATATATTCATTCAAACCTTCCAAGGCTCAGAAAACATTGTGGGAAAAGGGAGTGGAAAGAATGTAAGAATCAAAAGAAGGGAGGTAGGGTGACACTCTTGAACTCACAGCAGCTGGGTTACTTGCACAAGATCTGCACAAGTTTGGGCCCATCAACACTCTGTCATGGAAGGGGGGAGGGGCTCATGAGGTCCCATCTCTCCCTTAGGATTTATACACAGCTAATGGTTGATAAGGTATGGAGAGACATTTTCTTCAGTGGTGAGTCACTAGTAAGATGTCAACCTACGCTCCAGTAAACAAACCCTTACCCACGCTCCTGTAAACAACCCTAATAAAATTTAGTGGATTCCTCCCCTCAAGAAAACAAAACAAAACAAAAACAAAAAACAAAATCCAACATGATAGTAAAAGGGATACTTATGGAAAGGATGGGGATTATCAAAAATTGGAGGGAGGAAAGAGATGGTAAATTATTTAAAAACATTATGTACACATATGAAAAAGCCATTATGAAACCAACTGTTATGCAGAATCAATATATGCTAATACAATGTTTTAAATAAAAATTTAAAAAAAAGAAAAAGTATTTAATACAGATATTTCCAGCAGCGGGAATGCAGGTATTTTTGTCTGTGTGCTAGCGCCCAATCCCAAAACAGGAAGTTTGCAATTAACCTGTGCCTCACAGTGTGTGTGTGTGTGTGTGTGTGTGTGTGTGTGTGTGTGTGTGTGTGTGTGTGTGTACAAGGCCAGTGTGGTTGTTTTTGCCTATTGTGTCTGCTGTGTCTGTGTGTGGGAAGATAGGCACACTTCACTGAGCCAGGGAGTATGTATGGATGCATGAGACTTGAAACGTCTGCGTTGCTATGTACCCACCCTGCAGGCTGTGTATAAACAGCTTTCTCCGTGGTCAGTTTCTGTGCAGTTTCTGGAGGTTTTCTTTGCCAAGAGGGTAGATAGAGGGAGCAACGTTTGGAACTCTGGGTTGTGAAAGTATAGGGAGGAGGATGGGGTGCGTGCTTTTCTTATGTGAGGCAAGGCATGCTGCGCCCAGATGTGTGTTTCTGCCCTGGATGTTGGGAGCCTTGTGCCTACTCCGACATACATCTGCCTGGCAGTCTGTGGTTTAGAGCAAAGGGATTGAATTTGGGAGATGGGGTGTGTAGGAGGAATGGATGGAAGTGTGTAGGCGGAGAGGTTGGGGCACCAAAGCGAACAAGGCGGAGAGAGCCGAGAGAGGGAGTGGTCCTCGCTCCAGCTCTCCCCGCCCACCCTACTAAAACTACGTCCTGATTGGCTTCGAGGCCGCAGGGCTCAGGTTACATTCGCAAGAGTTGCAGAGCGCGGGAGACCGGACCCAAGAGGAGAGAGGCTGATTCTGCAAAGGTTCTGTTCTGGTCGGGGAGTGCTGGACAGCTCGTGAGCTACCACCCAGTATCATACAGATCCACCCCCACTCTGCGCCAGGCTCCACCCCAGCCAAGGACCCTCAATACCAGCATGGACTGCTGCACGGTAAGTCCGTGCTTGAACTCAGCTTGGTCTGGGACAAGGGGCACCCAAGAACCCCCAAAGGGCGAGAGAGGTATGGAAGAGGGTGTGGAAGTCCTAGGAGCCATGTGGAGAAGGAGGGTGCTGAGATATTGTGTTGGGTGGTGGAATGCGCCTGTCTGATCCGAACCAAGCCCCGGGGGGTGAAATGCTCCCCAGCTTGCGGGGGAGTTTGAGAGCCCGGCGGCCAGGCAGTCTAGGTTAGATCGCGAGCTGAGCGGAGCTTTTCTGCAGGGAAGCTGCAGGTTAGATGACAGGTGGAACTTGTCCCAGGAAGACACTGGAAACTGTTGCTGGTGTGCAAGTCCTTTCCCTTGGTATTTTTTGGCCCCATACCATTTCCTTGCCGTCATAGGACCATGGCAAGATCTTCACGACCCCCGGATGATTGTCTAGCCCTTATGCGGCTAAGGCGGGGAGAATCCACCTGGTCTTGGTGGTGGTGATGGGCAGCAAAGAGCCTAGTTAGTGTGGTTCTGGGGAGGAGCTGGCCCGGCCCCCAACGCCTTCCCTTTTGGAAGGTGCTGGGTGAGTGACCGTGAGAGAGCCCTGCTGGCGAGGGGAGGAAGTGTCAGCGCCCACACGGAAAGTGGATGCTTCAAGTGCCTGATGCCAAAGCAGGTCCTGTTAAAAGGACTTGGTATGACCGCGCCCGGCACAGGATCTGGCTCCTGGCTGGCTAAGAGCAGAGTGATCAGACCTATATAAAACGTGCTTATTCTTAACTCCTATCTGCAGAGAAAAACGACTCCAAACTCCTGGTATTCTCCTTCTGTCAGCCTGGCTTTAAAAAAAAAAAAAAATCCAGAGGGTACTTAACAAGGGCACCCCACCTTTCACCCATAGTGTGCAAAAAATAAATAAGTTTGGAGGGAAGGAGTAGCCCATTTCTTTAAGAGGTGAGACTTCCTGATGTCTGGGTGCCAAAAGGCAGCGAGAATTTAGAGGCAAGCCATGGTTTGCAATTTTAACTCTTGTTAGAATCAATAAGAGCTGCCAATGTGCCGGTTCTGTGAATCAGGTCCTTTACAGTTGTACTAATGGAGGTTTAGAGATGTGATTTTTCCCAGGTAGGCATCTTTGACAAGTGTGTAGCCCTGTCCTCTCAAAAGGCTGCCCTCTGATCCCTCTTTGAAGTACCCTGTTTTTCTATTACAGGAAATGTCTATAGCAGTTAATGTGTAGACCAGGAAAAGCTATGAAAAAGAAGTATGCCAATCAATATAGTTCCGCCCCTTGAAGAAAACTGACAGACAGTTCCAGGGAAGCTGTGTGTTGTTCTCTAGAGAACAATTTGCTTATTTATTTACTTACTTACTTATTTTTGGTGCTGGGGATTGAACTCTGGACCTTCTACGTGCTGAATATACTTTCTGCCTCTGAGCTACACACCCAGCCCAGGAACTATTTTTTGGCTGTGAAAGGAGAAATGGTCCTCAGTCTTGAGGAAGAGCCCCTCATCCCCAGCAGTGTTTCATTAAGCAAAGAAAACAAATAGATGGCAAATTATGAGATATGAGTCAGTGGGGGTGGCTACTGCTGAACAAGAAAGAAATTGATGAGAAGGCAGGAAGGATGGGGGAAAGAATCAGGAGACAGGGTCAGTGAGAAGACACCAGTGAGCGAAGACTGGGAAGCTTGGAAAGGAAAGGAGTTTCTTTCCTTTGGGATCTGCAGGGTGATGAGGGTGACACCTGGGACTCCAGCCTGCAAGCCCTGTCTGTCCTGGCTAGTGCTGATGAATATCCAGGAAGCCATTGGTGCAGGGCTGCTTAACAGTGAGTACCCAGGAAGCCATTGATACATGTCAAGTAGATAGCCACATAACAGATAACTGATGCTGATTGACATGGCTAAAATCAGTATCCCCTAAGAAGAGGAGCAACTACCCACCCAGTAGGGCTACCAGAGGTAGTGAAGGCCCTAGATTCTGGGGCACCTCCTCCAATGGACTCTGACACAGAGTCTTCTGTTTTCATGTCCCAAGTTCCGTGGACCAAAGGGCCAGACAATGGTTAGTGTCCATTTCAGTCTGTGGTGGTGGAGGGAAGCAGGAAGAGGGACAATGGCAAGAAGGGTGGAGGGCTGGGGTAGGACAGAACTGCGAGCAGGCACCTTCCTGCCCTATGCTGTAGAGAACAGGGTTCCCTTTATGTCTTCCTCTGGGGGCTCTCCTCCATGACCAAGCCACATGGTGTTTAGGAAGAATCTAATCTTTCCTTACTTGTCCCCCACCCCCACCCCCTTGGTATGCAAGCTTAGACAGAAATGGGGACAAAGAAAACAAATCTGTTCTTTTTGGGGGGAATGTTTTTTAAAGAGCTATTATTCAGTGTTCCAGTGGCTGATTGACATAGCCAACATACATGAGTTTCCTGCCTTCATTTAATAGGAAAAGAAAAATCTGTTTTCGTGTCTCACTCTTTTCTTTCTTTCTTTTTCTTTTTTTTTTTTTTTTTTTTTTTTTTTTTTTTTTTTGTCTACTTGACTCCATACCAGTTTACAGCATTGAAGTAACTGCCTACTTCTGAATCAGATGATTTCACTATTTGCTTGCCATGCAACATGGGGAGCTATAAAATGTCTCTGAGGTTATTTCTTCACATCTAAAATGGGGATTACGTAGGATAAAGTGTGCCAAGTGCTCAGCACAAGGCCTGACATAGAACAGTCAGCAGACAGGCATAGTTCTTAAAGCTGCTCAGCCAGGTGGTGGTGATGCATGCCTTTAATCCCAGCACTCAGGAGGCAGAGATGGGCGGATCTCTGTGAGTTCAAGGCCAGCCCAGTCTATAGATCCATTTCCAGGACAGGCTCCAAAGCTACAGAGAAACCTTGTCTCAAAAAAAGAGAAAACAAAAGCAAAACTCCAGCTGTTCTGATTTGGGGTACCGAAGGATACTATTCACCTGAGCTAAGCTCTACTTGGTGCTAAAGAAAATGAGAGTCTCAGAAGTGATGTGCCCATCCATGGCTCCTCCTCTTTTGGCAAGTGCATTCTCCCACCCCCAGAAGTCCCTAGTTCATTCAGAGCCCCTCAGCACAGACTGATGTCAGTCTTGGCTTCAGGAGGCAGAGGCCCAAGAACCAAGACCAATGAGCAGATCCTGGGTTCTCATCCCTTTGGCCTCCAGTTCTGCTTTTGGGCAGCCATGACCATCCTGTTCTAAGGAATCAGCCTGAGGGACAGGGAGCAGACTCAGGTGAGGAGCAGCATAGCCTTATGGTAGGCCCTGTGGGGGTGGCTTTGCTTGTTTTTCCAGGTTTTGATTTTGGCTGCGATTGGTGGTAGTAAGGTCAGGTCTTAGGGTGGTTGGAGACATACTCCTTTGGCACTCAACCCCCAAATATCGACATCATCCACAGCTATCAAGACCAAGGAGAGAGAATCTGAAATAGGTTTTTATGCTTGCTGTCCTCTTTCAAGATGCCTGTCTATTTCCTGAGACTATTCCAAGAAAGACTCAGAGAATCAGAAAACCCAAAGGAGTTGTCTCCGATTTTATGTGAAGATAAGATATCATGAAGAGTCCAGAGCTAAGAAAGACAAAAAGACAAAGGGTGTTTTAGGCCCATCCATCCGCACTCAGATCATCCTCTTGGCAACTCCTTGAAACTGTGTTTAAATTGATTGAGAAGCATCTTGAGCACAAATTAAGGAACTCTAAGGCCCAGGAAATGAGGACAGCTGGGGAAACATGATGAGGGGGAGTCGTTTGTAAACTTGGGCTTAGGCTTCTGGAGTAGAAAGCTAAGCTTAAAGGCTGGGTATGTATGGTAGTTCACACCTGTATTCCCAACATTCAGGAGACAGAGGCAGGGGAACTGTGGGAAGTTCAAGACCAGCCTGGCCAACACAGCGAGTTGCATGTTACCCAAGGCTGCATGATGAGTCCTTATCTCAGAAAGTAAACTAAAATTTAAAAAAAAAATGCATCCCTAGGGCAAACCTGTCAAGAACAGAGGACACTGAATCTTCACCCATACCCTGCCCATTTCTGACAGTTAGATAGTTGATGGTCAGAATGTGACAGAAGGAAAGCTAACTTATAGTGTGAAGTCTTGGCCACCCGATGTGAGAAGAGAGAAACAGGGAAAACAGTGAGCACTCTTGGTCAAGAAATAAAGACAAAATCCTAGAGAAAATGCCCTTCTGACATCATAACAACCCCCCCCCCCAGTCATTACTGATGCTGCAGTGTTAAGTCTCTGAAATTGTTAACTTCCTCATCCTTTCTTTAATCATGTTTTGTCTGGAGTGGGGTGGTAGTAGTGTAGTAGTGTGTGTGTGTGTGTGTGTGTGTGTGTGTGTGTGTGTGTGTGTTTGAGAGAGGAACTCATGTAGCCTAAGATGGCCTCCAAATCCTGACCTTCCTTCCTCAGGCTTCATAGCTTCATAGTACTTACTGGGAGTACAGGCATCTGCTACCTTGTCTGGTTTTCATCCTTTCTATTCTCACGTAGAACAGGGTGACAGAGGAACAGAAACTGGACATGAAATCATACCCACAGCACTCTGTAGGTAGAGGCAGTAAGATTGTGAGTGCAAGGCTTGCTTGGAACACAAGTCACTTGCTGTAGGGATATAGCTAAGTGGTAACCGTTTGCTTATCATGCCCAAAGCCCTAGATTTGATCCTCAGCTCTCTGAGAAACAGCAGGAGCAAGAGAAAATGAGAGAAAGTAAAAGAAAGGGAAGAGAAGGAATGTTGGGGCATAGAGATAGCTTTAATTATATCACACACTCCTTAATGATGGAATACGTTCTAAGAAAAGTGTTTAGACAACGTCATAATGGTGCAAGCATTGCAGGATATATTTATAAAGCTAAGGCATCACTAGTTGATATGATCATGTGGGACTGCCATCATATATGTGATGTATCATTAACCAAACATGGCACATGTTACATTATTTGGACAAACTGTACAAGGTTGTTGTTATAGGACCACTTTGACCTTACATAATCATTTTACATCACTGTATTGCTTTACAATAGTCAGAGCATAGCTACTGTTTGATGATCAACTAGATTATGCCACTAAATATAGATACCATGTGATTTACTCTTCTTCAGAACCCATAGAGGTGAATATTATCATTTTTCATTTTCTCAGATGGACCAGTTAAGACTGGGGACACTCAGATAACTCCCCCAAACCACACCATTACAGCAAAAAGTACAACTTAGCTGAGCAACTGGTTGCATTTCATTTCTTAGGCATTAAAATAAACTCTAGAACTTGGCATACAAGGTTCAAATCTACCAGCTCCTGATAATTGCCTGGGACCCTAGGTAGGCTGTTTTGCTTTTGATATTCTAATCATCGACTGCATCATGGTAAACTCAAGTAAAAATGAAAGAGAGGTCCGGGCAGTGGTGCCTTTGGTCCCAACACTCAGGTGGCAGAGGCAGGTGGATCTCAGTGAGTTCCAGGACAACCAGGACTATTTCACATAGAAACCCTGTCTCAAAAGACAAAAAACAAAACACACAAAAAAAAAAAAAAAAACACACACACACACAGAGAGAGAGAGAGAGAGAGAGAGAGAGAGAGAGAGAGAGAGAGAGAGAGAGAGAGAGAGAGAACAGTGTCACAGCATTATTTTTGAGGAAGAACTAAAATGCCTGGAAAACACAGCTGTTGCACCTGGGGCAAGGTAAGTTTGAGTTCAACTTGGGGCGCAGTAAGGAAACAGAGGGCCCAGTGGAAACAGATTCCAGGCCTCAGGCTGAATCAAGGAGCAGTCCAGGCCTCAGGCTGAATCAAGGAGCAGTGACCCCATCATCTTGAGCTCTGGTGCTGTACTACTGGCGTGAGGAGGGGACCTCTAGCAGATATTTGTGTCCACTCCTTGGGGAATCCTGTACACATAAGGACCCTTCTGAGCTGGAGGCATCTACTCAGAGCAAATGGTGGTTACTTTCAGAAGCGCTGGCTGCTTTTTCTCTACCCTTCCAGACTCACCATTCACGCAACTCCGCATCCTCCTGAAACGAAACAGATTTAACTGACTTTTCCCTTTCTCCACCCTCCCTGCCCTCAGCCTTGGTGGCTAGGAGGTGGTGCTCCTCAGCCCCTCCGAGGCTTCCTGCTCTGCTTCTCCCACCGTCCTCTAGCCCCTCCCGCCCCCCTGCCCCAGTCATCCTGGGCTCTAGTCTTACCCCATGCCCTCATAGTCTGGGCCTTATCAGCCATAAGAACCCCTGTCCCATCCTCAGGAGAGCGCCTGCTCCAAGCCAGACGACGATATTCTAGACATCCCGCTGGATGATCCGGGAGCCAATGCCGCTGCTGCCAAAATCCAGGCGAGTTTCCGGGGACACATGGCGAGGAAGAAGATAAAGAGCGGAGAGTGCGGCCGGAAGGGACCGGGACCCGGGGGACCGGGCGGAGCTGGGGGCGCCCGGGGAGGCGCGGGCGGCGGCCCCAGCGGAGACTAGGCCAGGTGAGGCTGGCTGGAGAGCATGGCAGGCCGGAGGCTCTCGTTTTCCAGGCCTGTCCGGGAAAAGTAGGGGATGTCTAAGGTTGGGTTGAGAAGAACGTGGAGGGAGTCAAGGGTGTGGACATAGGACACTGAGACGACAGCTGCGTGAGAGAAGGCCTACGATGCTGACTTGCCTAGCTAGAGCTTACCTGTCTCTCCCTCCCTCTTTTTTATGCCTCACCTTGGACCGAAGAACTGAACGTTTTAGAAGGTAACTAATATGACTCCAAAGCTGCAGAATGTGTAGGGGAAGATACTGGGTGGGAGAAGTGACCCAGTTGCCCAGTCTCTCTGCTTGCCCTCAACCCCTCCCTGAAGTCCCTCTGGTATGTTGAGACGCCTGAGGCGGCAGCAGGGACACACTTGAACCAACACAGACACGCAGTCAGTCACCCTCATTTGGCTGCACAAGCGCAGCCGAGGGCCATAAGCACAGAGAGAGAAGCTCACTCATGTACCTGCCCCGGGGTCATTGCAGCTCAGTGAGCAGGGGAGGGGATCTGGGTGACACTCCCCGAAAGGGAGGGAGGGGGTGACGCTAGCAGAGGGCAGATTCTCAGACCTTCTCTCTCCTCAGTTCCAGAGGAGAGATGATGCCGCGTCCCCATTCGCAGTGACAAGACTTTCCTACTGTGTTTGTGAGCCCCTCCTTCCCACCAACCAGCCAGCTTCAGGAGACCTCCCCCACCACTACCCGCCCCGCCGCGTCCTAGAGACTCCCTTGGCTTCGTCGCGGCGTCGCCAAATTCGTACCCTTTTAGTTAGCTCTCAAGTCTAACGTGGCCCCCTTTTCGCCTTTGCTCCCCACCCTCGTCCCAAATCCCAGACTCGCAAAATTGTCCTTTTGCTTCACGCCCACCTGTCCCTGCGCCCAGCATGCAGCTCTGCCTCCGCAGCCTCGGTGCGCTTCGCTGCGCGTACTGCAGAGGGCGCCCGAAGCGTCGCCCAAGTACTCTCGGGAAAAGAAAAAAAAAAAAGAAGGAAAGCAACCACCAAGTCCTTTCGCTCTGCGGGCAACGAAAGGGGGCGCCCGCGTCTTTGTGCCGTTTCCACCCCAGCCTAGCCTCAACCCCTTAAACCTGGGGCTAGGAAAGAGGGGGAAGAGGGTTTTTATGGTGTCTGATGATGCCCCTTGCTCTGATGGGAAGGGAAGTCCTATCCCACACCTGCCTGTCACCCTTTTCCTTCCGAGAGCACCCTGAGAGCAGCCCCTCCCTCTCTCCTTTGTTTATGCAAAAGCCTCTGAGCGCCTGGAGGCTCAGTAGGAGGAGTCTTCCGCAGCCCTGCCCCCAGATAGCCCCTTCCCCGCTGGGCTCCTGGGGTTGTGGCTGGAAGGTTTTTAATCTCTGCGTGTGCATGTTACCATACTGGGTTGGAATGTGAACAATAAAGAGGATTGTCCAAGTGTTCAGAGGGTGCAGGGTGGGAGGAGGGAGGTAATGGGAAGTGAGGGGGCGGGGTTTGCCTAAAGCCACTAATGGGAGCCAAAACAAACGGGATAAAAGGGTGGGAGGTGTGCAAAGATGCCTAGGTTGAAACCTATCCTTTAGACCCAGCCAAACTTTCTGCTTGCAGCATCATCTTTGGGATTTCAAACCCATTCCTTCCCTTTGGGTCACGGAGAAGAATTCACCACACCAGTAATAAGGAGCTAACATGGTACCCAATGGCTTTAATCATTAACATTCCCCCTCATCACCCTCAGGGTATCAGAAATCAGACAACCATAGAGAGTTTGGACTTGGCTGTCACCGTGCTGGCGGATGGGGCCTTCTCCAGAAGACTTTTGCTGTAACTGGCCCTCATAGAAACTTGCTCAGAAACCCCAGGAGCAGTGGCATCTTCCCTGAAGGACACAAGCAAAGACATACAGAGGCTAGAAACACCCTTCAGGCAACTGTCGTCCTCTAACCCAGGAACATTTAGATTTGCTGTCCTGAGAATGATCTGCAGAACTCTGTCCAGGCGCCATCTCCCATGATACTCACACTTTGCCTTAGAAGGAACAGAACATGGCCTAAATCTGAGTATTTAAACAAGGTCCTGGTAGATTTCTCTAGATCATCTGAGGGAACATTTTAAGAACTGTTCTGATAGTTGAGAAGATGGCTCAGTGAATTAAGTGTTCCATTTTTAAGCAGAAGACCATAAAGCTCAATGATCCCCAGAATCCTTGTAAAAATAAGTCAGGCACAAGCTTGTAACCCCAGAACTGAAAAGATGGAGACAGGTGGATCTTGGGGCTCACTTGCCATCTAGATTACTTGATCAGCTCCAGACCAGTGAAAAATGACTCCAAAAAGTTGTCCTCAGACTTGAACAGGGTGACAGAGTGCATATGCCCCTCCACACAGGCACAACAAGAACACACAATAAATTAAGATAAAAATAAGTTGGACAACCTTCCTAGAAAGGCCAGGTTATCTTGTGGACACACACTTGCGCACTGATGTGCACAAACACATGCACCTGTACTTTCACATACACACACACACACACACACACACACACACAGAAATAATCAGGTATGGTGGAGCACACTTTTAATCCTAGGACTAAGGAGAAGAAACTTGAGGATCTCTGTGAGTTTGAGGCCAGCCTAATCTACATAGAAAATTCCAGGCCAGCCAAGGCTACCTAGTGAGACCCTATCTAAGGAAAGAAAGAGAAATGCTATAACAATTCCTGTTCTGACCGCATGCCTTGCAGCTAACATGTCAAGTGTATAACGAAGAGAGCTTTGACCTTTGTGTTTGTCCTACCCAGAATAACTCATCTCAGACAAATGCAACTCCTGGAACCTACCATCCACTTCCCTCCAGTACCTCCATATGAGATAGATAGATAGATAGATAGATAGATAGATAGATAGATAGATAATAGACACACACACCATATTAAGTGAGGTGTGTGTATATACACACATTAAGACAAAGAAAGCCAGGTGGTAGTAGCACAAAGCCTTTAATCCCAGAACACGGGAGGCAGAGGCAGGTGGATCTCTGTGAGTTTGAGGCCAGCCTGGTCTACAGAGCAAGTTCCAAGACAGCTAGGGCTACACAGAGAAAACTCTGCCTTCAAAACAAAAAGGAGAGAACAGAAAGAAAACACATTTTTATTGTGGAGAGGAGGATCAGAGCAGTCCTGCATCCTGAGCCATTCCTACCCTAGCTTGTGAACCAATCCCTCCATCCTGTACCAGAACTAAAATCTTTTAGTGACATCAGCTTGAACCCTGAAGACATCCACTTTGAACCCAAGATCTTTCATTCCCCTCTGCAGCACCCCAGCTCTCCAGCTCACCGAAGGTCACTACCCCCATATGTCTCCTTGGGCTCCTTTTTCCTCTCTTTCTGGAACCTGATCAGGCAGAATGCAGCGACTGACAGCAGCAGCACACCCAGGAGCACCCCAATCAGAGTCCCAGCCACTCGGCCTTCAGATGAGTCTGGGGAGACAGGACCCTCAGAGTTGCAGAAGTCGCTGACCCACCCTCAGCAATGTCACGTGGTCTCCCCAAGTCAAGCCATTACAGGCCTCTACCCAGCATCCCCTACCAGTCACTGAGAGGTTCAGCTCGCAGGAGGCACTGCCCATCTGGTTGCTGGCCACACAACGGTAGGTGCCAGAGGAAGTCAGGGAGAGATTGGTGAGAATGAGCTGGCCAGACACTTCATCTAGAGAGTGAGAAGGAAGTATACAGCCATGCATTCAACTCACAGTCAGCCCATACTATTACAAATGCTCAATGTATTTACACCTTAAAACAATCTGCCAAGAAAGGTCTAATCCCATTTGATTGGTGGGAATCCTGGCTCCAAACAGGAGTGATTTGAGAAGACTCAGAGAGGAACCCCAAAGCCAGTACAACTTCTGCGCCCTTGCCACCCTACACAGCTGCCTTCTGGGGAGGAGGATCTGCATAAACAGGAAGGTGATAATGGGAGGTGGATGCTTACTGGATGAGCTCAGATCCTGGATGATAGCAAAAGTCTTAATAACTAAATATCCATCCTCTAGAATAACTAAGTGGGTCCAACTGCTTTTCTGAACTCTGCTGCCTCACAAGGCAGAGAACACATCAGGAAATTATCTAGGGGAGGAAACTTGCTGGATAAAGGGGCGTACAGGTTTACAGAACAAAACAACAAAAGGAAGTTAAGGTTCCAAAGAAATCCACCATGTTTAAGCCAGTCCATGTTACTCTCTAGTTTCCTCTCTTGGAAGTTTGGAAGCAGTTTGTGACCCTTAAGAAACCTCCAATGAAGCCAGGTGGTGGTGGTGCACGCCTTTAATCCCAGCACTTGGGAGGCAGAGGCAGGCGAATCTCAGTGAGTTCGAGGCCAGCCAGGACTATTATACAAAAATCTCTGTCTCTAAAAACAAAAGCAAACAAACAAAAAATCTTCAATGACTAGACAGGTAGGAACTATAAGACAGTTCCCTGCCCCTGCTCCCTTAAAGGGTATCAGTACATTTAAAAGTTTTTCCCAAGCACCAGCTGGAAGGCAAACAGGAAGGCATCAATACAAGGAAGGAGGGAAAGAGCCTTAGTCATGAACTGATGTGGGTGGGGCTTGGGGTTTAGAGGCCGGATCTTAGGGCTCCAGCCAGGCCCATCTTCCAATGCCCTGCTCTCTCACCTTGAACCATGCTACCAGGAGGAGGTGTAGGAGAAGATCCGAGATGTACCCAGTTGTACACAGGCTTGGGCGCTCCCTCGGAGGAGCTGCATTTCAGCGCAGCAGAGCCTCCCACAGAAGTTTGCCCACTATGGCTGCATAAGGGGTGACTGGGGGGCACTGAAAAACCACAAAAGAACTTCAGTGATTGAGGTCAACATTTCCCATTTGAACACCTCTGTCAAGTCATCGTCCATACCTCGGAAGTGATTTCCACTATTGGGAGCTCTGAGGCTTAGAACTAAGTCTTCCCCGTGCTGAGCCCAAACGTGTTGTTAATATCCACTGACCGGTTTCAGTTCTTGCCACCGGGGCCCATAAAAAGAAATTACAACTTCTCCTCTATGTGAAGGCCCTTCGGATATTTGAATACACAGGCCACACACCATACCTTAGGCCTTCTCTTTTTTCATGTACACATCCCTTTCTGCTTTCAAAGCTTCTTACTGCTCAGCTCTGTGCATGCTCTGATTTCTAGTGAGGTGGGAGCTGGGAACACAATGTGGCAATGGACTAGAGAGGCTCTGTTCCTCTAATGGCCCCTTTTCTTCTTTGTCATGGACACTGGGAAGGACAGAATCCAAATCTGAGTTCCTGAATGAATGATGGAGCTAGTGGAGTACAACTCAACCCCCACCCACCCATCCACCCACCCCCATCACCTGCAAGGTTGGCTCTGTTCTCTCTCTCCCTCTCCCTCTCCCTCTCCTTGTTTCTCTCTGTCCCTCTGTTTTTCTCTCTCTGTGTGTGTCTCTGTCTCTGTCTGACACATTAACACTAGACCCTAAAGGAGATACTGTGGAGTGGAGTTGGAGCATGACCATCTAGATTAAAAGTCCTGGGAAGGAGACCAGTGTTGGTGGTGCTCGCCTTTGATCCCAGCACACAGGAGGCAGGAGGATCTCTGTGAGTCTGAGGCCAGCTGTTCTACAGAGTGAGTTCCAGGACAGGTTCCAAAGCTACACAGAGAAATCCTGTCTCTAAGAACAAAATGAAAAAAAAAAAAAAAAAAGTCTTGGGGAGGGGTAATTTTTTTTTCCTTGAGGCTCCCAGTGCAGCTGGGCAATTACTTGGGCTGCAAATCAGGACTGAGGAGGTCTGGCCAGGGTCAATGCACACTTACAGGGTAGGAGGGCGGCCACTACATCCCCAGCATGTCTTACCCAGCACTGTAAGGTTGATTAACCCCAAGCCATTGGTGTAGAAATCAGGTGGGTTGTTAACGTTGCATAGGTAGGTTCCAGTGTCTGAAGGGTGGAGATCAGTCAGTTTCAGGGTAGCCACTCCTCCTGTGGGAGGGTTGTGGACAAGGCTGGCCCGATCTGCTTTAGAGCCGGTGGGGTACAGGTGATCATTGGTGAAGTACAGAATCTGAGAAGAGACCCAAGGCATTCATGTCCCCTACATATACTATACGACTAATCACACCACCTCGGGGACAGGGAATTTAGTAATTGAAACGGGTTGTGTTTGCTTAGGGGGGGTTGGACGCATGCGCTGTAGGAAAGGAAAGGAGAATGTAGGGTCAAACTAGCTGAAGCCCCAGGAGGCAAACGACCTCCCCACCATGTGCATCCTCTGTCCCTGGCCAACCCCAGCAGGCACAGCTGCCCTCAACTCACAGGAAGAGATGCAGAGACAGGCTTCCCAGGAGGCACAAAGCTCCACTCCAAGGCGAAGTTGTCTCCCACCGATGTGCTGTAACTGCAGCTCAGCTCAGCTGTCTTACCCTTTGGCAGGCTCAGTGGCTCAGTGGGCACAGTCACCTCCACAGCTAGCCCTGGGACTGAGGACCCCAATCCCACACTAGCATGGTTGTTTAGAGGCTGGGGCTTCCCTTGCTACGGCCACAACCCCCTCCTTCAATTCAACCCCTTCTCTCCTGAAACTCAAGGCTTCCTGGGAGGGAGGAGCCCACAGCCTAAGCCTGATTTTTGTGGGTAAAAGGTCCAAGACTGGGCCAGGTATGAGGATGTATTGACAAAAGGAAACAAGAAAAGGCTCTGCAGTGGTAAATCCTTAGATGGTGAGAGAGGCTGAACACTTTAGCTGGCCAGCTCGTCTCCCTGCTCCTCCCTCCCTGCCTTCAATGCCCCCTTCCCAGCCTGGCACAATGGCTCCTGACCTACTGGCCTGAGCCAGCCAGGGAGGGCCAGCCCTGCCCCCAGCTGGCTCACACCTTGGTTGGGCCCTCCCAGCCTCTCCTCACCGCTCAGGTATACGAAACCCAGCAAGGGTCCGCAGAGGAAAGCCCCCATAAGGGCCCAGGCCATGATTGTCTCCTGGTCCTGTCCTCTGTTGGTCTGGAGGGCCTAAGGCTCTAGGAAAGCCCGAAAAGCAGCCGCCTTGTGCTGGGCAGGAGAGAGACTGGCTATCTCAGAGCAAACAAGGGCAGAGGCGGGCACCCTCAGGGAAAGGAAATGCTCCTCCCTCCTCCACCTGATCTAGGATACTTCTTCCTCCCTAGTTTCCCCCTACTTTCTGAAGTTTTCAGGCCCTGGAGAAGGAGCTGGGCTTAGGAGAAGGCACCCTAAAGACAAGGATTCAGAACTGGAACTCTGCAAGTAAAGTCTTCAGCAGGAGAGAAGGCATTCTGATGCCCATTGGCAGATGATGTCACCTTGGGGATCATAGACAGCGGGCACGTATCCCTGGATGCATAAACTGTCCTGGGAAGATTCTCTTCCCACCACAGGCTGGGGTAAATAAGAGTCTCTTCAGGGAAACTACACCCACTTCTCCATTTGAGGATCACTGGGGACAGAGAAACTGAGGTATTAGGACAATACCACATCCTAAGTCTTCCCTCAACTGGCAAAGGGGACTGCTATCCAAAGAGTAGGAAAGTGATGCTAAGGATGCAGAGGCATAGAACTCCCTCAGACCTGGAAGGAAGAGCAATTGACTCTGTGGGGTCCCAAGCCCAGGGGCACCAGCAGCAAGTGTCCAGGTCCATCATCACCTCCTTGTTCAGATTAGGTTAGGGCTTCCTCAGCCTCAGGCTCTTGGCTCCTTTCCATTCCATATGACAGTGAATGGCCCTTCTGCAGACTCTAGAGGAACTATAAGCCTGTAAGCCCTGCGGTTGTATAAAGTTTCCTGGATATACAACCTAAGTAGGTAGGATCTACTTCATAGCCTCCTGCAACTCAGTTTCTGTGAAGCCCTAGTTAGCAAAAGCAATGTGATTACTAGTCCATGAAAATGCAAAGTATCTTTATTGAAATTTGCAAAATAAAAACAAAAACACTGATTTCAAGTTAGTTTTTAAAATGTCTTTCCTATTCCCTGCTCCAACAAAAACCTAGCCATGCCAGCAGGACAGGTTATATTAATACAGGGAACTGGAATGGGAAGCAAGGGACAGCATTAGATGGGGTATTTGTACAGATCACAGAGTCAGGGACCTCACTGATTGGCGGTCTCCTACAGAGTAATTGGAGGGCAGCCAATCTCAGCATCATTCATCTGGCTTCATAAAGAGAAGCAGGGAAGAGATGGAGCCTCCATCCCCACCCCCAAATCTCAGGCCCATTCCCTTCTTTCTCCTCTGACCCAGACTTTGGTCTCACTGAGGCCCAGTTTTCCAACAATAAAGGGAGGTAGGGACAGAGGACTGGAGGTCTAGAGTGTGGCTATCCTCCCAAGATTCTGTCCTCTGTGCCACAGGTGACCTTTACAGGAAGGTGAGATACCAGCCTTAGTCAATGAGTGCCCGGGCTGTCACACCAGAGACCCAGCCTGACTCTGAGCAGGCACCATCACAGGCACAGCACCCATGCGGCTCAGGGCAGAAGAGGAAACTCCACCTGGGCTCAGGGATACTGGCTGAGGTGAGGGCCCATCTGTCCTGGGCAGTCTTGGGGAGGACAGGGCCTGGCTAGAGACACTGGGTGTGGGAGTAAATGTGCCAGGTCTTGGAGGAGCAACCTTGGGTGGCCGGAGAGCTCGTGCTGAGGTGACGGAGGAAAGTGTCCCGTTCTTGGAGATTGTGTCTGAGCCTTTGGTCCAAGGCAAGGTCCGGGGAGCAATGGCATCTTCCCTGGTCATCAAAGAAGTGACACATAAGACGAAAGGAGAAAATGAGGAGTTCCTACATGTCTGTCTTACTGCCCCACCATACAAAGACATCAACTCCCTTTCTCTCTTCCTTTAATTCCTCTCTTAGGAATGCCCTTAGGCCTGCATTCCCAGACTCCAGAGAAAAGTCACAAGAGTTCCCACCCCCTCAAAGATCAGGGACACCTACTTGATATCATTGGCCAGCTCCTCCAGGGTCTTGTTTCGGCGTTGGTACAACAAGAACAGTCCAGCCAACAGCACCAACCCAAGCAGAGTGCCCACAACTGCTCCAACAACCACAGCAGCCTTAGACCCTGAAAAACCCTTACTGTCAGAGGGAGGGACACTTCTCTGTTCCTTACCCACTCAAGCTCTACCACTCAGCCGTCATCCCAGCATTCCCTGTTTTCTCTGTTAGGGTTAGGGAAGAAAGAGAGAGAATGGTCTAGCAGAAAATGGCCAGATGCTAAGCCAACATTTGTCCCTGCTTTTGACTATGTCCAATTCCCAGCCAGGATTCAATGAGAAGCTTCGGCAGAGGCTTCTTCCTCTCCTGTGAAGCCATCCACGGACCATGATTTTTCACCGCACTTACCCCTCACTGACCTGTCATCACTTCCAGGGTCACGTTGCACTGGGTGAAGCCCACTCTGTTTTGGGCCTTGCAGACATAGACTCCAGACATAGAAGTGGAAAGGTTGGTGAGCTTTAAGGATCCACGGATGGCATCTATGAATATAATTTAGCCATCAGTCCAAGGCTCATCTTTTTCATTAAAAAAATTACATATATATATATATATATATATATATATATATATATATATATATTCATTCCATGCCCTACTTCTGGAATGTCCCCTTTGGGTCTCCTAAAGTTATTGCTTATCCATGGATTTATGAGCCTTGAGAATGTGGCAGCACCCTGGACCCTGAAGACAGACTGGTTCAAGGTCTGCTTCATTCCTATCCTGCAGTAGCTCCAACTGATGTCTGAAAGGAAGTGCCCCACATAAAGTCAAAACATCGTTTGGACATTTGTTTCTGAAAGGCAATGTGAAGGGAGGAGGGGACAGAAAGAACATTTGACTAGGAACTAGAAAAGCTGGGATGCCAAACACCCCGTGTGACCCTTATGGGTCTCTACTTCTTCATCTGTAAAGTAGGTACAATGCTCCTTTCCTGGTGGGGTTGAGAAGATTCTGTAGACTAACCATTCTGATCTTTTGGTTGTTGAGCCTGTGCTAAAGCCCAGCCTGACCTCTTTGCCTGCACTAACTTATCAAATCTTCACACACACACACACACACACACACACACACACACACACACACACAAGGAAAAAAAATCACTGAGCCCCTTTAGAATTATACACTTGGGACTGGAGAGATGGTTCAGCAGTTAAGAGCACCAACTGCTCTCCCAGAGGACCAGCATTCAATGCTCAGCACCCACTTGGCAACTAACAACTGTAACTTCAATATCTGACACCATCACACAGACATACATGCAGGCAAAACACCAATGCACATAAAATAAAAATAAATGAATTTTTTAAACTACTTACTATATACTTCTTAAAATGTTCAAATGAGGGGCTGGGGAAATAGTTCAGTAAAGTGCTGGCCAGCCATCCTCGCCCAATCAGTAAGCATAGATCCCAGTGAGAGACACTGCCTCAAACACAAGGGCAGATAGCTCCTGAGAACTACACCCAAGACTGATTGTTGACCTCCACACATGTGCTCAAGCAGACACACTCAACTTATACTTGAGGGGAAAAGTCAAATGGGGCCAGGCAGTGGTGGTGCACGCCTTTAATCCTAGCACTTGGGATGAAGAGGCAGGTGGATATCAATGAGTTCTAGGTCAGCCTAGTCTACAAAATGAGTTCCAGGACATCCATGACTTACACAGAGAAATCCTGCCTCGAAAAAAAGCAAAAGTAAAAACAAAACCAAAACAAAACAAAAAGTCAAATGGGTCCCAGGGCTTATTTCAGTAGTAAAGGATGTTTATTGTGTGAAAAACCCTGGTCCATTCATAGAACTAATAAAATAAAATAAAATAGATAGGTCCAAGTAGAAAGGGAGAAAAATAAAAATAGGTATACCCATACCTACACCCAACAGTTGTTAACACTTTTCTATTATGTTGTCTCTTCCTCTTTTCCCACTGACATTTTAAAGAAATATTTTGAAGCCAGTGAGACAGTTCAATGCGTAAAGACACTTGTCACATAAGGCTGGCCATCTGAGTTCAATCCTTGAAGCCCACACAAAAGTGGAGAGGACCATCTCCACAAAGTTGTCCTCAAGCATGTGCCATGGCACACATGCTCACACACCCATCATACACACAAACACACACACACACTAATAATAATAATAGTAAAGAACTTGTTTTAAATAATACTTCTAAATACATCTTCAAAAACAATATCCATTAAGCTGGGTTTAGTGATGTCCACCTTTTATCTCAGCACTTCAGAGACAGAAGCAGGCAGATCTCTGTGGTTTTAAAGTCAGCCTAGTCTATATAGTGAATTCCAGGACAGCCAGAGATATATAGTAAGAGCCTGCCTCGGAAAAAAAAAAAAAACAAAAAACAAAAAAACAAAAACAAAAGAAACTCCTGTTATCTTATACAATCAAAAAACTATTGCAAAGCCTCATCAATTAGTAATGATCTTCTAAAGTTACCTAATGCTTATATTTAAAATATTCCAGTTACTGGGCATAGTGGTGTAATCCCAGCACTTGGAGGCTAAGGCAAAAGGATCCTTAGTTTGAGGCCAGACTTAGCTATATAGTAAATCTCTGTCTCAAAAACCAAAGGAGCTTGGGGTGTGACTTGGTGTTAGAGTGCCTTCCTTTTATATACAAGGTCCTGAGTTCAATTGCCAGCATCACACACACACACACACACACACACACACACACACACACACACAAATCTCCCCAAATATTTTTTTTATAGCTGGTGTGTATAAATCTCATTTTACAAATGAGGGAATGGAAGCATAGTCACAAAGTCATTGAATGCCAGGACTGGAATTTGAAGCAGACTGCTTAGCTCCAACCCTCAGTAACAGTATATCTAGAAGTTCTCAGAAGCATTGAGCATGGTACCTTACACCTAATATGACATCTTTCTCTCCCTCTTTCCACATCTTCCTCCTGTCCCTTTCTGAAATGCCTACCCTTATCACGCCAAACTGTGAGATACCTTTTATCCTCCCCCATCCTCAGTCGCCATGTCAGTGACAATCTCCAGAAACTCCCTTACCTAAGGCTGGTCCAAAGAAGACCTGGGGAGATGGGCCCAGCCTCTCCCACTGATATTGGGCAATAGGCTTACTCCTTGGAGACTTGCAGTTCAGGGTCACATTGGTCCCCACATAGGGTACACCTTGCAAACTACAGGATGGAGGAGCCGGAGGAACTAGAGAAGAGAAGATAGATTAAAACCCACACCCTAAGGACCCACAGCGTCCCCTCCCCCAATCTCTTTCACCATTCCACATTTCATCCCCAGGTCTTATAC